CTGATTGTCAGGTAGGTAATCCTTTTGCTTCACATGAAAGTGCTAATTTTGTTTCTCATGGTGGCAGGCCGAATTTCAACCCCTATTCATACACATACAACCCAGGGTGGAGGAGTCATCCGAATTTTTCATGGAACAACAACCAACAAAAAGCACCCATGGGATTTCAACAACAGCCGCCCCCACAAGAAAAGAAAGGAAATCTAGAGGAAATGATTTCAAGTTCATTAATGTTGCTGAAGCAAAGTTCCAAGATCACGAAAAGATATTCTTAAATCAAGAAGCATCTATTAAGAATTTAGAAGTCCAAATGGGGCAGATTGTGAATTTGTTGTCAGAAAGAAGAGAGGGACGACTGCCTAGCAATACAAAGAAGAACCCAAGGGAGCAAGTGAATGCCATTGCTTTAAGAAGTGGAAAGACTATTGGCGAGACCCAGAATAATGATCAGAAAGCTGAAGTGGCCGATTCACAAAAGGAGACCGAAGGGAGTACACCTAAACTGAATTTTGATGCTATTAAACTCCCTCTCCCCTACCCTAGAAGAGTCTTGAAAGCTAACTTGGATAAGCAATTTGAGAAATTTTTAGAAGTGTTTAGAAAATACATATTAACATCCCTCTTCTCGATGTATTGTCGTAGATGCCAAAATACGCCAAATTCTTGAAGGAGGTGATGTCAAATAAAAGGAAATGGGAGGAATGCAAGATGGTGAAATTAAATGAAGAGTGCTCAGCCATTCTCCAAAATAAGTTGCCCCCAAAGCTTAAGGATCCAGGGAGTTTTTCTATACCTTGCACCATAGGAAATACTGAATTTGAAAAATCCTTATGCGATTTAGGTGCCAGTATAAATCTAATGTTATATTCTATTTTTGAAAAACTTGGATTGCATGAACTAACATCTACTACTATTACCCTGCAATTAGCTGATAGAAGCATTAGATATCATAGGGGAATAGTAGAAGATGTTTTATTCAAAGTGGGCAATTTTATTATTCCTATTGATTTCATTGTGTTGGATATGGAGGAAGATAGGACAATGCCTCTGATTTTAGGGAGACTTTTTCTTGCTACTAGTAATGCTTTAATTGATGTGCAAAAAGGTCTACTTACCCTTAGAATCAATGGTGAAGAAGTGGTGTTTAATGTATTTAAAACCATGAAATATCCCAACACAATTGAACATGAAGTATATGCAATAGACTGCATTGATGTTTGGGCAGCTGAAATTAACACATCTAAATTAGATGATCCCTTCGAAAGCTGCATTCTTAATTCTTGTAAAAATATGCAGGTCTTGCAGGAAGAAATTAAGGAGGTTTTGAACTATTTGGAGGCCGGTCAAGAAGAGTTCAAGACAAGACAAGGAAAATTTTTACCATTGGATGGACCAACTCTACCAAGCAATTGCGACCTTCCATTGAAACACCTCCAGCTCACACAAAACTCCTCCCATCWATTMTGYAGGYCCCTATTCCAGATTTAAACCCACCCATGATGGATGAGAGGGGAAAACATCGGAAGTTGCAACTACAAGATCTGGAGGATCCGGTTTATGATTAAAAATAGGAAAGTTTGTTTTTCTTTTTTTTTCTCTTCTTGTTTTTATA